TAATGAGAATTTAACAAAAATTTTACAAATTGTTCTTATATATGTTGAAAGACTTAAGACAAAAGCCGGAGTCGATTCACTGAAACAATCCAAAGTTATAAGGATTTTAATTTTAATTTTTTGGTTAGATTTGGCCATAAATTCTCAGGAAAAAAGCAACAAAAGCATTTCTGCGCTCTAGTTCTGAATAAATGATAACATTCTGCACAATCCTTATTACTCAAACTATATGAGAAGAGCATATTCGTCAAAATCAGTTCTTTAACTTTTTGCTACTATTGTAGGTACCAAACATCCTTAAATTATGTAGTGTCTACTAATAAAATATGAGCTTAATGCAATTGATGCTAATAATGTATCGCTGCTCAAATTTGTTGGCATTCTGCTAACATTTTGCTTACAGGATTGCAATTCTCTTCCTTATATCTTCTTCATGGATTGGCCACATTCAGTGGAACGTTTATTTTGCAACCGTTGGAAATTTTCTTCACTGAGATATTCGACTATTCCTTTAGCTCTAAAAATATAATCTAATCGACTCAAAGTGCTTGTCTTACTAAGCGCTGACTTCTGCTGAATATGGCCATTAATTGTGTCATGTCACAATGTCACAATGTACAACTGTTCTCCAAGATGTTCCCAATTTATTTATTTCTTTTTTTTTTACTGTGTAAAGAATATTGAATATCAAAACCTCATTTGAATTTTATGTGCAATATTTATCTTTAAAACATAACATATTCTAATTAATATTTATACTAATTTATACTAATATTGATACTAAGACTAAATTAAATTTGATTGCAAGGCATTTTGTCAAGATTGACATGACTATTTCTGATTTAGTCTGAAACAGATAATGCATTATTATTTTGCAGATTTACAGTCGACTAATGATATCTAGACCTGTACCTAAATGTCGAAGAGCTCTAAGACCAGAAGACAGAAAAGAAACCAAATCTTCAAATAATAATTATCAAAGTTTACAAATGGAAAAAAAAACTAGAAAATCTAGACGACAAAATTCATCAAATTCATCTGAAACTGAAGAATTATCGAGAAATCTAAGCACTAGTTGCGACACACAAATTACAGAAAGTTCTAGTAACGACGATGAAGAGGTACAATTACATAATTCGCAAAATCGTTCTAGAACTACCTCTCCGGAAAGAAATATTTCGGAGAGGCCAAATCGTTCTAAAACTATTTCTCCAGAAAGAGATATTTTGAGAAAATACAAATCTGAAAAGGAATCATCGGAGACACAGAATAGCTTAATTAATAGCTTAATTAATAGCAGATATTTGTATTTCTCCCTTTTCGTAATAGTAATATATATATTATATATATTAGATATAGGTTCATTTATATTACTTTTAAAAAAGAATGAAGTCACAGCACAGAAGCAAACACAGTCCATAAATAATCCTACTTTACTATTATCTGAATCAATCAAAAACATCAAGGAAACATTTTCCAATCAAGAATCATATATCTGGAATGATATTTCATCTGCAATAAACGAAGTGAAATCAAGAACTCCCAAGGTACCCTCGATCATTCTGCTATTTGCAAAAGAAACAACCACAATGGATTGTTTAGCTACTAAATTGGCAGAAATGAGCAGAGATATTTTACATGCAGACGAATATCTGACATTTAAGCCAGAAAATGTTGGAAACGATGCTGGCGAGATTATTAATGAATTAAACAAACTTCCTCTAGAAAAAAAGAAGGTTGTGGTGAGTATGCATATATTTCAAATATGAATTCTGTTTATATGAACTGACTTGCTTAATCAAATAAATTTGTTGCAGATGATTAAGGACATATTGAATATTAATACAGAAGCAATAAAAGATTTACATAATTTATGCGATAGACATAACCCGTTAGTAGCTGAAGCTGTTTACATTCTTACTATGCAAACCAACAATTATCAATCTCAACAAAAAAAGCTGAAGTTTGTGGAAGATCAGATTTATGATAAACTATCAAAGAGCATCGATCAGGATGTTTTACAGGCACTCGTAACGCGCATTACAGACGGGGCCATTATATCGGTACAACCTGAGCCACAAATAAGATATTGCTAATTTGAAAGGAAACATATACAGTACCATAGAACATTAATGTAGTTATGTAAATAACAAAGTTAGGTATGTTATTGTAAATAATAAAATTGTTTAAAGCTAGCGTCCTATGTGCGGTTCGTTATTCAAAGAGATTTGTTTAGAAACTCAGATTTGTCGCGCTTGCAATCATTAGTTCGTTTATGCTGATTCAATAGAACGATTTTTAATGAGATGGCAGAGCGCGAATCGTTATGAATCAAGTCAGTTTGTGTTTACTTCAGACTCGATTGTAAAATTTTGACTTAACGTTTTCTATAGATGTAATAGTACTGAAGTATAATTGTGTCTGAATTTTTATTTGTACTTAAGAATTAATATTATCATTATGTAAAAAAATAGAGAAAAAACCTACTAACATTTTATGATCCCTTTATAAACTTAAATTTCTTCTTAAAACAAACGTTCTTTCTGGAAATATGTTTTGGAATAATCGTAAGAAGTTTGTATCTCCTTATTTTGCCCAATTTGATTTTCTATTATACATGTATCACACATCACACAGATAAATTATATAATGAACCACAAATCTAAATATTATGAAGAGTTCATACTTGACAAATAAACGACGAATTTTTGTCAATTTATTACGAATCGCATATAGTTTGATGCTAATTTTAGTAATGTAATACAAAATATAAATTATATGGAGGATGTACTTAATGATAAACGTATTATATGTATTAAATCATTTTTGAGATTTTTAAGGTGTTGCTGCAGAGATATGTCAGATCAAAACTGTCAGAACTAAAAAATTAGAATATTTTAATATTAGAAATATTTTCTACCATATTTTTGCATTATATATATAATAAATGAACTTATTTAGCCAGATACAATAATATATATTTTTTACTAATTTATTTCCATGATAATTTTCTTTGTATCTGTAATAGTATATATTCTACATTGATAATTATGACAGTTATGATAGTCTTTAGTTGTAAAATAAGGAAATATAAGATCTATAGATGTGTTAATTTAACTTTATTTTGTTATGCCAATGTTACACGAAATAAATTTTATTTTTAGCGATTTTTCTCTAATCACAATTTCGTACTTCTATTTTCGAAAAATATAACGACACTGTTGTACGTAGCGATTTCACGCATATTTCCGAATGACATATTTATTCAGCTTCAAAATAAAATACAATAATTAGGATTATTTTGTGTATGTGTGTGTGATATTCGATTCTGTATTAATGTGTCAGTCGGCAGTCCATACAACGATTGAAGTAATGTCGAAGTATCGTATCCTGCTCATTGCCAATTTACAAGAGCTTTTACATTGTAGATTTAATTAGTTTAATAATTCGGGATGTTTACAATATAAAATTGCAAAATATTGTTAACAAATTATTAGTTACAAATATACGAAAATAACATTTTTTAAACATTTTATATCAATTGTATATAATAAACGATAAACATTAAACAAATATTCATCTACTTATTAACTCATCTTGTTCGAATTGAATACTAAGGTATGTATATGTACCAAATATATACGTAAAATAGATTTTGTTTTAGATTTTACATAATTTTCATTGACTTAACGTAATTTAAATAAGATTGTTTTCTGATATGCACACACATTCAATGTTTCCTAAAATATATCATTTTAGATACCAAATTCATAAAATACATATCCTTTTCTAAAAGCAGCTGAATATAACTGAAGTTTAACGTCAATTTATAATCTTATTTCCATTTAAATAAATTTTCTAACATATTATTACAGATTGTTGGAAAAAGTACATTCACGATTATTTTTAGACTAGTGCTTTTCAATCTTTTTGAGCAATACTTCAAGCAAAAAAAGTTTACAATAAATTTTAATGCATATTTTATACGAATCTACTTGCATTTGAAACACATGCAATAGTACTTGTCTTATTGACATTAATTTATTTTGATTAAAATAATTATAATTGCAAAAAATTACTTTTCGGTAAAAATTTCGCACCTAAAGATTGTTAATTACATTGAAAAACACTGGCTTAATTCAATCCCTATACATTTCATGCACTATGTATATGTATATGTATGTGTATATATATATATATATATATATACATATATAACATTATATACATATATAATGATATATAATATATATAATGAATTGAATTTTCGAACATCCTGTATAATTTCATCCAATCTCAGCAAATTTTATCAATTTAAAGCAATTTATCCCGAATTTATATATAGAAATAATATGCACAACATAATGGCAAATCCTCATTTATATTACTTTGTTAATATAATGCTTTGATAAGCATTTTATAAATTGGCAACAAGTACCCATAGCTGTGTACTTTGCTAAAGTAACACATTAGCAAAGTTTCAACTAATGAGCTGTAGTACAGTCATTCTCCGTCGTAATAATTCAAATCGGTAACTAAAAGTAGATAGTATATATAGGATTTGTATAATATAGTGTGGTATCGTCAAACCTAAATAATAAATACATTTCGTATATACAGTTATAGACTTTTCATACAGAATGTCCAAAATCTAATTATGTGCTGTACAATTTCAATACTATTCATTTTCATCACAAATAAAGGGTAGAAAAATATAAACTCTACGATAGTTCAGAAATTAAATTATAAAACATAAGATAAAAATTATTTATTTAATACATCTGCAAATGTTTATAATTAAAACAACTAGTAATTCATTGCGTGATACTGGATTAACAAAAGTATAGATATAATAATTAGAGTCGGCATTCCGCACGATTTTTTTAACATAAGAAAAGCAAAGTTTTGCACGTATCTCAAATAATACAAATCATATCTATCATAAATTACAACAAATACTTCAACCAAATCTTGCAAACTGTTGCAATGTTGCGTTGATGACCAGATATACAGACTATTGCTTCGCTTCTTAAGGGCACTCTGTATAGAATAGTCTTAAAATTACGAGATACGTATTTACAGTAAAAAAGTTTAATTGGTCATGTTTCTATCTAGTATAGTAAGGAGGTGAGTACCGCGTTGCGTAATGTTGTCCGTGTTGGCTACGTAGTCGCGTACTTCAGTCATTCAGTTAGTGTCTTGCAGGGTAATGCAAGTTATTTTTCTTTTCGTTTTGTAATTCTGCGTCAGTCACATGTCAGACGAGGTATGAGTCTGCCTCGACAAATTGTTCTGATCATTGTCACCACTTCTACTTAAGCACTAAGACGTTTATGTTTTAAAAACTGAACGTCTCATACTAAATACATGCAGGTATGAGTCTGTAAGTGTTCCTACACAAATTGTTTCAAGGCTCTAAACGCAGACATTGTCGCAATTTGACGTAGGTTTCGAAACAAAATCATTTCATATATAAGTTACGATTCATCTTAAATGAGAAAAAGAAAAAAAAATCAATTGAAAATGTGAAGATTTTTTTACTGTTTTTAATTCGATGAAGAATAGATCATTTTCGATTACTTCGTAGTAGTAGTAGTAGTTTTGACACAAATAAATTCATCTTATATGAATATGTAAAATCATATTTACTATTGATGTACTGATTTTCAGAATATTGTAAATCCCTGTAGAACGAATAACGTTAACATTCAACGAAACAGTTATATCCAGAAATTTAAAGATAGTTGATTAGAATTCAAAGCCTTGCACTGGTAGTTGGGAAGAATCTGGTGCGGTGAATTGATATTCTTGTCCTTGCGAATCGATTGATGGTACAAGTCTGGTATCCTCTTCCTCAGACCCAAAGAATCGTTCAATAATATCGAAGGCCTTTTGATATATATCCATATTTTGGTGAGATTGCAAGAATTCTATTTTATCTAGGCCTAAAACATTAATAAAAGAAATATCAATCTAATTACTATCAAATTAATAGTTATTAATCGACATATATTTAATAAGTCAATATATAAAAATTAATATATGTCAATATATCATATAAAAATGATATTAAATGATATAAATTGAACAAAAAATTCAAACGAGAAATAAGGTAACAAATTGATATTTTACCATAACATTCTTCGATAAGAACTGCATAAGGATTAAGACCATTATGCATAGTTGCATCTTGTTCTCCCAGACGTAAAATATTTTCTATTCCGTTCAAGGCGACCTGAACGATCTTGACATCCATAACAGTAAGCAAGTCGCAGAGCGGCGGAATACATCCCTGCATTGCGAGGTATCGGATTTGATCGGCCGTTCCGCCACTAGTAGCATTTGTAATTGCCCATGCAGCTTCTTTACGTGTTTTAAATTCAGCTTTACTCAAAATCTCGATTAAAACCGGAAAGATATTAGCATCAATCACCGCCTAAAAAAAAATATATTATATATAAATCATTTACATACACATGCACACATACACACACACACGAAGTTATTCTGTTTGAAAGATTGAGACATACTTGTATTTGTTGGGGATTACCGGCAGTGATATTAGAGACTGTCCAACAAGCCTCTTTACGAACACTTTCCCGTGGCGAACTTAAGAGATGTAATAGACACGGTAATGCCGAACAATTTAGTACAACTTGCGTTTGCACATCATCTCCAGTAACTATATTTCCTACAGCACGAAGAGCCGCGCTTATTACGTTATTTTGTTCGTGCCTGAAAACATTTTCATCAATTATAATATAAATGTTATAATCTGTTACATAATGTATAATAAATTTCTTACATGAGAAGCTCTACGAGACGTCTGCAAACGCCAGCATCAATAACAGCTTGTATCTTATCATTTGGGCCATCGCTCAAATAAGAAAGAGCCCAACAAGCATCAGCAAGTACATCATAATCAGTATGATTGAGAAGATGGGCTAACACTGGTAAACATGGTGCGACCTTTGCAAAAGCTGGCGCTGGATTTTTTCCTCGACAGAGATTTGATAATGCCCATACCGCATTACGAGTCATAGAAAGTCGTGTCGCTTTTGATAGCAATCTATGAAAAATAGCACATTAATTAGAATAATATCATCGTGCGACATATACAAGAATCTTCAATTTTTTTTAAGGCTCCTGCCTAATCACCGCGGCCATATTGGAATCGTGACGTCATAAGCGAGAAATAAAAGTTTGTTGCATGCCATTTTTAATCAAGAAAATTTGAATAAAATAACAAAATAGGATCGCTTTAAAAAACTTTAAAAATAGACGGAAACTATCCTTTTGCTCCCTGAAAGTCAGTAAATAGTCGTAAAAAGGCACTTAAAGTAAAGCCTATTTAGAAAGAAGAAAACTCACGGTTTAACAACTAAAAGGAGTGAAAAATATGCATTTATGTATAAAATTCAATAATAACTTTAATTTTTGTCCATTTTTACAACTCTGATAAGTACGAGACAAGTCACATTTTCACAATTAAGCACATAATAAAGAAATGGCATGCAACACAAAACTCGTCGTCACTTTTCACAGGTAGATCCGTTATTCTCTTAAAATCGAATATTCTCTTCACATTCGACTGTGATTGACCAATTTTTATTGCTTACAATATCGGTATACAACAAATTTTATAAAATTATCATGGTTTATGACTTATAACACCGAAATATAAACGTATTATAGAACGGGTCTAACAATGATTGACAAACTTCTAATTTCTATCGCGATATAGTGTCGGCCACCGTCAACGCGGAGTTCGTGGCTGACTAGGCAGGAGCCTTAATAACGATAAACGATGATAATTTACTGTAATAATGAAAACTGTAAATGTAAAAAAACTTACTGCAGAAGTGGCGTGAGGATACCGTTGGCTAAGACATGATCTCTGCATTCGGGACTATCTCCTGCAATATTACCCAATGCCCAAACAGCTTGCTCCTGCACATCTTCATACTCAGAACCCAGTAGAGATATGAAAGTAGGAACAGCTCCTGCATCTATCACAATACGCGTCTGTTGCGATGTACCACTGGCTATGTTTGTCAGAGCCCATGCCGCTTCAAACTAACAATTAATATTACCATTAACGTGCATCCTTGATACACAACAAAAAATAAAATAACGTTGTTTAACATTTATACTCGTTTCCATATACCAACCTGCAGAGTGCAATTTGTATTGTTTTTAAGAAATTCAACAAATTGTGGTACAATTCCTGTTTGTATCACCTCATCTATAGGAGGATTTGGCTCTCTTGATAATAATTTTCTAAATTTCTGTGTTGCTGCCAATTGATCTTGTATGTTAGGACTATATAATGCGTCTACCATCTCAGATGTTATAATACCAGGAGACTGTTAAAATAAAATTTTTTTAAATATAAAATTACCATAAAAACAAATTATACATAATGCAATAATTAAATTACCGATTGTGCTGTAGGAAGTGAATATTCGTCCGTGGATGTAATATTATCTTCATCAGCAACAATGTTTGGAACATTGCGGCGTTTTGATAATTGCTGTTCACGTTTCTGTTTTCTTAATTGAACTCCCTCTTCCTCTCTGCGCCTTCGCAGTTCTTGTGAATCTAATCCTACGTTTTTATAACGATGTTTATGTGTAGGTCCTGTTGACATCTAAAAAAATAAAAATAAATTATACATGTATTATTTTAGTTACATAGTTTTCCTCTACACTAAAACAGTGAACAAAAAAAATTATGATATAATTCATGAATTTAAAATGATATAATCGCAGTATTTAATATGTTAAAAGTTCATGATTTATTTTAATAAAATTATCAGTTTTATTGTCAGACAAATGTAAAAGATATTTTTATGAACTTGTGCATCAGAATTAAAAATTTTCGAAAGTTTGGAAAATCTCTTATTTAAAACAAGTATTAAAAAGACTCTACTTATTATCACATATACATAAAATATATTGACCTCATATAACAATATGATAAATATTACAAGTGCACAGTTAGCATCTAATATCTTAAGTCATTGATACGCCTAAAAAATATGCTAATCTCTAGATACATTTTATTTACAATTTTAACTTTTTATTTTAACTCTAATAACTCAACTAAAAATTATTTCTTTAAAAAGGCATGTTAAATTGATACCTCAAATGTACTGAAGTTCGTTACTTTTTTCTACAATGCCTTGGTTTTTTGCGGCGCTTTGTAAAAACTTTGTAAAAAGATTAATAGTGTACAGTATAATGTTAATTGTAAACAGTAAAAAATAAAATCCTAAATAGCACGTGAAAAGCACTGATGTTTAGTAAATAAAATTCTTGCTTTCAGAAAGAAAATTAATGTACAAATGTTAAAGATAAGTTACAGTTTTATAATTCTTAATCAATATGTAATATCAAAAGAAAGATGAAAAAAAGATGCATGTTAGATCAAGCATTTCTATGAACATACATTTTTTTAAAGAATTAAATTTAAAAAAACATACGGCACATTAATTACAACCTTCAAAATAGACAAAAACTATAACAGTTTTTATCTTTAACAGTATTTTTTATTATTTAGAACTATTAAGAACAGTTCTTCCAATTTTTTAATGCATATTACTACTTTATTGCCTTGAAAAAGAGAAGATTTATATTCATTTACTCACAATTTTACAATCTATAATAATTATTTACATCAGATATATAAACAATATTCGAGATTATTTAAACAAAAAAAGGAAGTTAATTTCGATCTCTTGTTTAAAAATATCTCCAAATGCACACGCGCGCGCGCGCGCGCGCACGCGAGCACGATAGTAGAGATGTACTGTACACATGTATAGATGCACTGACGAACTCGTCATATGAATGCGAACAAAAATACAAAGGCGAGCGGCGAAAATGACGAGGCTCTAAACGGAACCCGTTTTGCGAAAGAAATATGCCCCGGACGAAAAGAGAAGAAAAAAAAATAAAGAGGCGGGCAGTGAATCGCTATGCCATCATCGACGTCGTCGGTCGCCGCGACGGTCATCTGACAATGGATTCCGCGTCAGGGTTAGGAGTTAATCGACGATACGATCGTCGGGGCGGGGATATTCCGCCCGGAAAAGAGCGAAGACATCATCTTCATACACGTCGAACGCGCACCGTCGCCGTGCCGATTGTGACAAGGTGCGCAATCGGCCGTAGCTCGCCGTCGATCTCCGCTGGCGCGCGCGGTCGGTCGCTTGGACATTTTGGCACGCGCACGGCCAACGCGGATTGACATTGGCCTGGAATCCTCTCGACTCCTCGGCATGTCAACGCGCGCGCGGCGACGTGTCCGCTGGCGATCCCGGTCCGCCGATCGGGGATCGATCATCGGTCGTAATGACGGTCACACTTATAATACTTACGGCTGTGAGAGCAGATTCGAATCTCTGATCAGGAATCAAGCGTAAAAGATCATACAAGTGCAACGCGAACCCAAGCGCCGCCGCAAGCCCTTTCTCTCTCCGCCATAAACTATGCGCCAACGGTGATAGATCGGAAAGTCACGGTTCGCACAATCGCAATCGCAAGTGATCGTAGATTGGTCTATCTACCCGTCGCGCGCGCCACGCTGATTGGTCCGGCGCATTTGACGCGCGCATTATGCTCTCCCGTGTGTTCCATGGATAGGAATATAAGGGGCTTTCTACAATAAGCCGTTAGTCACTACTCATATCATACTAACTAAGAATTGACCAATCGTAATCGAATATTTTTCTTATACTCAACTGTGATTGGTCAATTCTTACAATTTACGGCTTACGTTCTGACAATACGACGTATTGTAGACAGCTCTTAAAGCCGGTTCTACATTAGTTGCAAGCCGATCGCAAGCTTGTTGCGACAGCCAATCTGAAGCTTACATTTTGAAATCAATGCTTCGGATTGGCTGTCGCAACAAGCTTGCGATCGGCTTGTAACTAATGTAGAACCGGCTTAAGGGGACAGAGCGCAAAGTCGTAACTTAGGCGAGGAGAATGAAGCCAAAATGCGGGAGGGAAATTGTGCCCAATTGTGCCCAGTTCACTCTTATTGGGTCCCAGTTCACCTCCTCCACAGCCAAAATCGGTCTATTATATATGTATGTATCACACGGACATTACAGCCAATCAAGTTACCTCGTCGCACCGTCCCGCAGTGGCTTCCCCCCCGCAACTTTGTGCTCTGTCCCCTTTATGTCCATGCAGTCCATGGTGTGTTCCACCATAGAGAATCTTGAGAGCGGTCATGCCCGCGATTTAGCTGCGATGGGCGATTGAGCTGGTTTCAGCACCTCTGGAAAGTGGACATTGAACTACGTAGCCGATGTCCACGATTTTATCGGTAATGTCCACGATCTTTTGGTGCTGATCTGTGCTATGTCTACGGTTGTGTTCCGTGCTATGTGCAGGAATGCGAGTAGGTTAGTTAGACAAGGACGGACATCAATCTCGGTCATTCTTGTCTCACCACCAGCTAACAAACACTGAGCTCGAGCGGCGAGTTTGTTTTATCTTACGAACACACTCTCCTTTCACCCATTCCGTTCTTTTGCTTCGCTGCGTTACCGAAATTCAGAAAGAGGATTTCGGGTGATTTCTGGCAGCGAGATGGAAAATAGATAGTTAAAAGAAATTTTTTTAATATAAATTTTATATGCTGTCATGACACGCGTGCATATGATTTATGCATAACAAATACGCGCGTGTTCAAATATATTGTACAATATAAATAATAATAAATAAATGATAATAATTAGAATAATAGAAATATTTGACTTTTAAAATTTTTTTTACTTACAATTCGCGATTTTATTTAAAATTTAGCTATTTTAGTTTAATAAATTGCAAGTAACATATCTGCAGTAAGTTAAAATTTTGAACTGCTACCTTCGAGATAGCTTTTTTGACTCGGCGCGTGTCTGCACCTAATAATCGCGAGATCGCTGCGTGGCAGTTCGCGTTTCGATTCGAATAATTTCTTTTTAATTATAAATTTTAATTCTTACAAAAAAAAGTAATAATAATAAATCACGCGGATTTATACACTATTTGTCCATTTACTTCCCATAAAAAAAACTTGTACATTAATTATACATTTTCCCTTTTTTATCATACTCGCTGTCTTGAAAATTAATTTACTGAATTACTGTGTGATAAAAATAAAATTTCTACATTTTGAAAAGAAAGAATATAATTATAAAAAAATGTCTTAGGTCAAATTCGGTAAGCAGTTTCTTTTTTAACTTACCCAGCTGCCGCTTGGGGTAAGCAGTTTTTTTCGCTTATCCCGCCGCTCGGGATAAGCATTTTATTTTTTTACTTACCTCGCCGGTTGGGGTAAGCAGATTTTTTTTTCACTTGCCTCGCTGATTGGGTTAAGCTGCAGATTTTTTTACACTTGCCCCGCCGATTAAAGTAAGCAGATTTTTTTACACTTGTCCCGCCGGTTGGGGTAAGCAATCTGTATCAAGCTGTCTAATAGTATATATAAATTTACTGTCATACATTTAAATAATCAATTCGAATGAAGGAAATTTTCATATTCAATAATTAATTATTTATTCTTGACTTTTAGTATTGAAGAAAATGTTAAAAAATTGGATATGGAAATATTGTGAAAAAGTAGAACGTTAACATTTAAAACGCAATCTGTGTCATCTTCATTTTTCCTGTAATTTTGGCAAAGGTACATTTATATCGTGTTCATGAAATATTTCATGACGAAGATGTTGATCGAAGCAACTTGGTATGGCGATATTACAAGAATAGATCGTTAATTACAAAACATGGCACGATTATCTAAAGTTAAAAAATTTATGTCTTTTTTAAATTTTATTTTGCCTTGTATAAAATGATAATCTGTACAATATGTGAAAGTAATCTTTTAATATATTGAAATTGTATAATTAAAAAACTGTTAACAAAATATGTTATAGATATTTTTATTTTTTTTCGAAAGATAATGTATCATAAATTGTAGAATAAATTACTCATCATTGACGCATTGTTATTAACAAAATAGCATTTTTAAAAGAATGTGACAGTTTATTTATTTAATTTTTCTTAATTTATTATTTAATTCGCACATGCAAATTCAATTCTAGTGACAGAGATTTAAATTCCAGTTTATTTAAAATTATTTTTTAAAAAGTTAAAAAAGACATCATCACGTGTTAAAAAAATATTTAATAAAACAATATTATTTTATGTAAAATAGCAATCACAAAAAATAAAATATTACACTTCAACTTTGTTTCAGATAAAAAAATCAAAAGTAAATTTTACATTAGTTACATTAGTTTTGAAAACAATTGAATCGATAATTTATGAATTAATAATAAATACATATTGTATATTTAATACATAATTGACTGTTTATCTACAGCTTGATTTATATAGTTATACACTCTTATAGCAACGCTGTACATTATTTATCTACTTCATTAGTTTTGATTTTATAGTCTTTTTAATTTCGTCCTTGTGTGTCGAAAATTGTTTTATATCCTTTATTTTTATAACTAATTATATTTTTTACTTACGTAAATCTGATATACAATATATACTTTTTAAAGAGATGCTTGAGTAAATCGTATAATTCGCATAATTTTTCTAGATTATTTAACTTCTTGTATTTATTAGCTTTGCTTATATGTTCTTATAAATAATACTTGTAAAAATTTATTTTACAATTTAAACTTATTTCCCTAAGCCTATAAGACAAAGTAATATAATATATACCTTACCTCTAAAAACATGTTAATTAAAAAAGTAAATAAATTTTAGCATAAAATTATGACTGCGTTCTCAAAACATCCGAAAATAATTGGCGTAATTTAATATAGTTAAATTTTGAAAAATAAAATTTTAAGTATTATTAGTCACCAACACAGTCGTATGTAGCGCTTTTCTGTATTTATTTGCGGTATACATTATGCGGCCCTATTGAAATTATTATATGTTGTTATTAAAATATATATAAAAAGACTCAAACATGATAAAAATGTTAAAAATATCTCTATCTAAATCTATTGGAAAAATAAATTATATAAATGTACATATAATACATTAAGTAAACATGTGTATATGTTTAATAAAATAAGATGATGAGATGTAATACTGTATTGAAATACAAATAATGTTTGGTCGACTACATCAAATATTAATTTTAGCATAATTGTGTGGAAAACTTATCACCTCTCTCATATCTTACGTCATTAATTCCTTATTTCAAACCTACGTACTCTTGAGGTGAGATGAAACAATAATTCGGCAAAAACATTGGGCCTTAATTTTTTTCAATTCAAATTTATTAATGTTTATTCATTTCTTTCGCATTATTATTGAAATTCCGTATGTTTATAATTATGTACATTATACGTAGTAATTAAATTGTAGTGTACGTTATACATATACTCATAATGCTATATACTTTTATTTGTAAATTCTATGATAAGATAAAATAAATATTAAAAAAGCACATAATCAAAAGAAAAGAGGATCATCGATTAGGATCGGTGTAGTGAAAGGCCTCTAAAGTTGATCCATTTTTACTGGATACAATTTTAGTTTTATAGATTTTAGAAAATTTAAAATATAAAAATCAATATTTTAATCAAAGCGAAGTCAAATTAATCCAAAATGTATTTAATTGCAATGATATACGATAAAAGTGGAGCAACCTTATTAAATTACGAACACCGCGGCCGATTAAAGTCGGCAGGGGGAGAGTCTCTGCCTGATTGAGTTGCTTTTATCGAATAAATATTTGATAAAGACGGAGTTAAAACCTTTTGAATGTTGTTCAGAATCATAAAACAACATGTTAAGATCAAAACCTATTAAAAATTATTGCTTTTATTTTCATTTTTGAAAATTATATCTATTTTTTGATAAAAAGAGAAACAATTTCCAATGGTCATGACCTTCACATGTTTTATCAATGTCATGATCCTGAGCAACATTCAAAAGGTTTTAGCTAGTTCGGACACCTTGGATGATGCTAATGCCGACGGTACTCCAACTTTCAAGCTTCATAACTCAAGATTTATTTAATCAAAAAATATTTTATCTATGTGTTTTGGAAAGCTCTCGAAATAAGCTATAAGAATATGCAACGAAAAATGGAGAGTTCCATTAAAAAAATTCAAAGTGACCTTGTCCTGGCCTTGACCACGCCACTCAGGGTCAAACCAATGTTATCATCTTATGTCCCCTTTAAAACCCTACAACTTTTGTCTGAAACATTTTTCTCTTAAATCTCGCGATTTCCAAATATTTGACTCAAATATAAAATAGGACACACACACTCTCTCTCTCTCTC